TGACCTCATACAGTTTGACACAGAGTGAACCCCACCAACTTCAGAATAGTCCTAACGTGAACACTGTTCCCAGGCTGAGAAAGTTACCTTCTATATTTGTCAGCTTCAAAACAGGAATTTGTCAAAACAGAAGTTAGCCATTGCCAACACGCAGGGTCAGAAGAATAAGCAAGTCTCTCCGGCTATAGCTGACAGAAGAGTGGGCAGCTCCTTAAAACACAGGAAAAATAGCGCACCTGAAGGATGAGCTCTTTTTTGCAGATGCTGGGCTACTAAGGAATGACAGAAACCATACCACATGGGGGAAGTGACCTTCAGCCTTCTTACCTGTTCCTGTCATGGTACGTGGGGAGGAACCGCAGAATCAGAGTGACTGAGGTTGGAAGGGACCTTTGGAGGTCATCTTGTCCAACCCCCCTGCTCAAGCAGGGATGTCCTGGAGAGTGCATTTTGCATGAAGCAGGAGATGAAAGTGAGTAAAACTGACTTGGTCTTCCTGCTTCTCACACAATTGACACATAAAACTTTCAAGACATAGGCAGCAGAAAGTTACAAAAGCATAACCACAAATGAGTTGCGCTCACATTTGTTTACTACTCCACTCAAATCTAAAAACTAGATTTAATATACAGTAAGGCAGGCAGAACCAGTTTCAAGGTGAGATAAGCAGAGCAGTATCTAATGAACCAAGATTATACAGGGCTCCACTACATCGGTATGTACTTCAAATAATTCAAAAAGTGAATGAATGGAGAGGGAAGGAACCATACTTTTGCGTTTGAGCCAGTACAACCCCTCCACCCAATAATTCCTCCCCTGGGACTATCTGTCAAGTTAGATCTTACCCTGAGCAAAGATGGGGTAAAAAAAGTAGGAAACAAGCAATATAGGCAATAATGCTTGGGCACGCATGTGGGCCACAGATGTTGTCAGAGTGTCAGAGATAAAGGACAGCGCTATTTTCTCATTTAACCTTACATTTGAAGCATCAGATAGTTACATTTTCAACAATTCCTGCTTCTCTGTATGGATCCTCTCACATAAAGAGAAAGGTTGAGTACATGGTACAGAGAGGTGACTAACTGTATTTTTCACAACATAAAATTTGGAGACCTCCACCAAATTCGGTTATTGGGATCAAAAGTTTTTCTAAGGTAGGAAAAAAGCTAATATAAATGGCAGCACATACATGTGTGTGTGTACTCACAGATACTTTCCAAGATCTGCATTAGTCCCTTTGCCTTCCTGTTCTCCCCATTCCCTGATTACTGAGTAAGCAGCTCTTCCACTGATGGCAGTCTGACCGACAACAAGTGCTTGCAAGAAGGCTACACTGGTGCTGGGAGGGAGGCAGGCATTTAGTTGAACAGATTAGATACAAAACTGTACAAAAAACATCTCCTGAAATCAGATTCTAAAATGTCATACACACCTGCAGTCAGGCAAAGAAGAAAAGACCATTAGCCAAATTATAATAAGAGGCTTTTGAAAATAGCACATTAATGCTATTTCACATGTTAGAAGACAAATTTTATTGCAATTCAGCAAATGAGCTACACCTGTAAAACTGTTTTGTATATCCAATTCACATTTAATGTCCAATGGATTGAAATGTCACAGGAAAAATAAAAAAGGCGAACAGTACCTGGTTTTGTCATCATAATGTAAACTTCAACGCCCACCCTTAAAAAAAACAAGCCAGTGATTTCCCCATGTAGTAAAATATATAGTTTATAAGGTATTGATGCTTTATCTTAGTTTAACAGCTAATCTCTAGGTATAAAATAAAGAACTACAAAGATGTGAAGTACGTGTACAATATCTTCAAGTATTTTCAAGTATCCTATAGTACCTTGCACTATGGACAAAAATCATTTGACAATATACAGAAAAAGTTAACTCTGAATAGTTTCACTGCAGAAACCTTAACATATTCATGAATTCAAAACACATCAAAAATATGGATCATCCGGCTAGTAGGTCCCATTTGAACAATTTGAAAAATACTCTTCATAATGGAAAAAGTTGTGGACTAGTCTTCAGTTCATGAATATGTTTTCAGCTACAGAATGTCAGATGGTTTAGTTTATGGCAGGTAAAGGCTATTTTTTGTATAAACTTATCATCATAGTATTTCATTACATTTAAAACAAGTCTTTATTAATTTGCATTTTCCTTCTGTATAAAGTATCATTGTATCAACTGTGATAGCGTTAATCAAAGAAGCATAAATAATTGAGAGGTGATAGCCTGCTTTTTTTCCTCAAATCAGGTATCAGCCCGTAAACATGTTTGGCCAATTTAGCACTATATATTTACTGCATTATGAATGACTTTTTATCATTATATTTCTCTCTACAGAATGCATGTCTGCTGTTAAAAAAAAATTATCTTTTCCCGTTAACTGTTACAAAAAAAACAACCAACCAACCTAACAGCCTAGCCACATTAACCTGCACCTACCAAACCTGCTCCCTTATTTTAGAAAAGTAACAGGGAAAAAAGTTACAATTGCATTATTCTATAGCTCATTTCTGACAAAAATGCAATGCAAGTTTTAAAAAGAGAGATGGATTTTACAAAGCTCTAGTTAAAGCATAAAAGATGCCGACTACACCATTTGTTCTTATACAGACTCATCCACTTCAGCAGAATGGCATGGAAGAAGCAAATGCTGGATCCTAACGTTATTCCGTGGGACTACATCAATGAAAGAAGTAGGTTAGTTTGTGGTAAACACTGGAGAGCGGTAGGGATTATGGCTGCTATTACAGACTGAACTGTTCTTAGATATGCCAGCCAAATCTCTTTCTAAAACCCTAGCACAGGCTACCACAGAGCTACGTTTAATATCTCAGTCTTCCTTGGTGGTCTCTGGATCCAACAAAACCAACATTTCTTCTGCTGCATTTCAGAACCTTCTACTGCTCTTCAGTGGAGCAAATCCTTCCAGACTCAGAAGTCCATATCAAAAAATGCTTTGAATCCTAATGGGATTAAGCATAGCCCCCCCCCCCCGAGAGAAGCAGGAAGGGTCTATCACAAAGTGGTCTTTCCCGTGCAAATAAAGTAATTGAGAAGCAGGGAAGATGACCTCTGCATCTTTCTTTTCCATCTGGACAGCTAGCACAACAGGGTGCTGTCACTGATGGACAGCTGCATCTTCATGTGCTAGCCAAAGAACCCACCACGTGGGAACCAGCAAACCCCAGCCTATGTCCATCCCAGGTATTGCTAACTGTCATAATGAGACCAAAAAGATCCACACCAAAGCAATCCATTAAACCAATGGTATCATGCCACACTAGGTGAACTTGTGTAAAGAAAATAAAATAAAAAAAAAAACCAACTTAATTCAGGGTTAATTACCTCATGCAAGATAAAATTAATCCATACTTAATACTATGAGAGATACAGTTTTAACAGGATCAACTAATCTGTTAAGGTCAAAATAATTAATCCAGCCCTCCTTTCTTACGTAGACATATTCCCTGTGAAATACACAGGTCTAGCAAAGTCATCTTAAATATAGCTGAAAGCACTGTAAAAAAATTTTTTTTGCTATTATTAATACATAAATAAACAAATTGGGGAAAGCATATAAAGATTATCCCAACATATTAAGTTGAATACATGAAATTCTTAGAATTAAGTACATCTGGTTTATTTTTGGCCTTCCAAAGATGGAAAAAAAAAAACAACAAAACCAAACCTGCACACACAAAATACTTCTGTGAAATGCTCCTGTAAGCTCCAGACTGTGAAAGAATTCACACCCACCCAGCATGAGGAGTGGCTTGGACATTGCCCTTGCATCTTCCTAATGCTACTGTGAAATCAAAAAAGAATCTTGCTCTGATAAGTACTGACAAAGGAACTTCTCAGTTTAATAATGAAATAAATAGGACAAAAGTAAAATAGTCAAAAATTTAATACATGTGCTATACTTATAAATTATGGAAATAAAACTATCACAAGATGTGACTAAGCTGTAGGTAAAGGTGCTACAACATTGTATGAACCGAAAAACTCGGACTCTGCTTCTCAAAAGAGAGACAATACTGAGATAAGTTTATACAGTGGAGACCTCTTAAATACATAGCCCTGAATTTCTGTACAGTAATTTGTGATGCTGATAAATCAGCGTGTTCTTAAGTCACATATTCATTTCAAAGAGATTTTTATCAGAGGATTCAAATGAACAGAGATACCTTTAGGCATTTGCCAAGTTCCAGATCTCCAATAAATTAAGCTTTCAAAATGTTTGTGTTTTACTGTAGAAGTGGACTAAAGCTTTCTCTGCTAAAACAAAAGCATCCCAAATGAAACAGACTGTGACAACAGGACCCAAGACACATTGCATTCAAAAGGAAAAGAAAAAGCCTTACTGTCTTTACAGAAAAATTAAGAAATCCTTGTATTTGTTAGTAAGGTATACCATCATTATTTCATCAGGGCATAAACATCTTTATTTAGTCATCTGGCATTTGGGGAACTCATGTCCCTCTTTATTAGCAGTTAAGAGAATTACCAGCAGCAACCATATACCAAACTTCAAAAGGCTGGTTCAAGTAGAAACATTTTTGTGTTATGAACAGTTATTCCAGGTTTTTCATTTAAGTGGGCTGCACTGTAAATTCTGAATTGCAACATAATATAGCCAGTTGTATCATAGAAGATTTTTTTTTTAAAGACAAACTTACAAAACACAACGATAGGTTAAATAAATAAAAAACATCAGTTAAAAAACACGCTTAATTTCTTCTGTGCAATTACATACCAATATGAAAAATATTACTTTGATCTCTGCACATTTCACGGTTCAGTCTCCTGGATTTCACTAAAAATAATACTGACAACAAAAATAAAGGAAAAAATTATTTGTTGACAAATCAGTGCTTTGGAGCTATTAAAAAAAAAAAGCACACATCAGATTTGTAGTTCCCTTGAAGCAGAACGTGACCCAATACATTAAAAATCAAACATTGGTAATAATGTTAATATATAAAATATTAGTTTAAAAACTATAGAATGACCTTCTCAGCAGAAATGGAGTGTATACATTGGGGTCTATGACATACAGCATATCTGAAGGCAAGTTCACAGAATGCTGAAAGGCTCACTGCACATTTTCTATGGCAAGGAAATACTGCAGCTTTAAAATAAGCTGCACAATACTCATCTCTATCTCTTTCACATGAAAGTGTGTAAAAAGCAAATCAGCAAATAAACTCTAAAATAGATTTATACCAAAATCCTCTTTTTTACATTGAGTTTACAGCTTCTATCCATTTGCCTGTACTATTTTTGGAGTTTCCTTCAAGAAAAGTCAAAGTTGGATTTTAGGGCCATGAACAAGTTCACGATACAATGTACTGGCAGACAGAACTTTTGCATACTAACGAGATTCACTCCTTGTTGCTTTTTTTTTTTTTTTTAAAAAGATAGTTTTTCCTGTGGGACAAGAGGTCAAATATCGATTCCTTTGACAAGAGATGCCTCCAGCGTAATGTTGAACTCCTGCAAGGTCTGCAGCACTCGAATCAAAGAATTCACAAGAGTATGATCCTTAATCAGCGCTGTGTCTTCATACATCTGTGCTGTGATCGGGCAGTCTGTGAGCAGGGCGATCCAGTGATGCAAAAGGTGGTCTCTGACGAAGTGGCAATGTGGAAATAAAAAAAAAGCCAAGTTAATTTCTCATTTTCACTGACATGATTTTTATTCTTTGCCTTCTAAACAGACCTACCACCTTCGCCGCATATTTTTTATAAGGCAGGGTAGGGGGAGTAACTGTCTGTGGAACTTGTTTAAGTAGGGAGCATCTGTGAGAGACGCTAGGCTTTCCACCCCTCACATCAAAAGATACGGTTCCCAGGGGGCCTGGAAGTCCCAAGCAGGCCCAAAGTCACTAGCCTGCTCCATTGCCTTTGTGTCAAGAGGCTTCTTGATGGTCCCAGCTTTCCTCCTACCCATCTCCTACAATGAGTAGATGAAGGGTGGGGAATTCACACAGCCATTAACTGGAGAGGCCTCACTAGTGGATGGTTTTCTGTTTCTATCTTCCGACCTTGCTAGCTGCACATGAGGAAGGCTATTCACACCAGCCTACTACCTTTCTCTCTTGATTCAGCTGCTCAGCTCTTTGGGATACTCAGTTTTGTATCTCAGATTTCCCACACTTCACACGCCTAAGAACTCAGGGCATGGTTCACTTGATCCTTCTTTAGTTACATCAAAGAACTGTATAAGTAATAGTCAAACTGCACAACCCAGCAGTTGTGTGGCTTTATCTTACTAATACGCAACATCCTTTTCATTTTATTAAAATAACAACAACAACAAAGAAGTTTCTTTATACCTGGCTCCAAGACACACCAGCATCTGAAACTTGCCATCCTTCCCAATGTTTCTAGGGGTGTTATTGATAGCAGTGATAAAGCGACAGAAATTCCTGGCCCTTGTCTGCCAGTTCTCTTCTGGGACCATTTCATTCTGCTCAAGGGTCTCATAGTATGTTTGTGCTTTTTCTTAAAAGAATGATGGGAGATAATAAAGTTTCATCAGTGCATATAGCAGTCCTAAAATAGCTGAAGTATCATTCTCCTGTGCTTGGAATAAAATAATTAGGCACTATGACTTTCAAATTTAGATGATTAAATTTAGTACAACCTCAGTATAACACTTTCCCCATAAGCAAGCTTACAAATCCATAAGGCTATCTGATGCCCGTATCGGACCGTTGGCAAATCAGCATGAGTGTCTGTGTCATGGAGGGGACAGTTAAAGTAGAACGGCCTAGATTCAAAGCTCATCCATGAATTTCCAGAATAATTATGTCTAGGCATTGTTTTTTTTCCTGTTTGATTCAGTCCTGTGTTCCCCATGCTAAAACTGGGATTCCACTTCCCTCCATGTGAACAGAGCTAAAGAAGTTCTAGTATCTATTGAATTTTGAGATGCTACAGTAAAGTGATATAAGGAGATGCCGCCGAGATGCCTCCAAGAAAGACGCTGTTCATACCAGCTGAGACACAGTGGCAATGAAAAGGCACACTAATGGATATATTTCGAAGACACAAGCAGGCTCTGGTATGTCTTCCTCCCACTTACCTAAAAAGTCCCAAATAAAGACGTTTTTGAAGAGTCTCGGTGATTTAAATCCATGCTGAAACACTTGCTCAAGGGCTGAAACAAGTCCACTTTCTCCACACAGCAACAGCGTCAGACTGCCTCTCTGCCAAGCACACACAGAAAGCACACACACTTATTATCTCAGTTTGGAAGCCTGGGACACAAAAACATCTCATGCATCTATTACTGAAACCAGTTTTTAAATAAATCAATGCCCAAAGTTACAGTCTACTGTCAAACAGTGGCTCCAGACAGGATGGCCCAGCTCTCACAAGTCCTGAGCATTCAAAAATTTGTTGACCTCTCTAAGAACGAGGCTGAAAGCAGTCTCAGGGTCTCATTGTCATCAAATGAAGCCACAAAAAAGCCAAGATAAAGATCATGAGCACGTTTTACCTATAATAATAACTACTGTACAGAAAATTAAGAAAATATTTTCCTCTTCTACGAAGTAATAAAGATCACAGCTCCATTGTAGCAGGTAGCTCAGATTGTTTGGTTATCAACAAAAGCAACATTTAATGCGATTTTTAAACCTCAGAAAAAAACCCAAATTCTTCTTCAGAACATGATGGTAAATTGTATTTTGCAAAACCAGTGCATGACCACTTGAGATTATTGTATAAATGTGATCATCAACCAGAATTATACTGTATATGAATTTGCCATGCTATACTGAACTTAGAAAAGATGGAAGGAATGGGAGGACTTGTAAAAAATTAATGACTTTCAAGAGATATCCATAGAGGAGTCAGCACTGCTCTACACCACTCCTGCTCACAAGGGCTGGATTTTGATGCTTTGACAGAGGCATGCTTCTTAAGTTTGTTTCAGGAAATAACTGCTGTGTCAGTTAAGATGATTACATGTATAATGTAGAAGTGCGCCAGAGTCTTTGACAGGACTTCTGCTTCATTTGGGGATGGGGGGGGTAGGGGTGTATGTTTTGTTTCTTTTGTTTTTTTAAAGTGGCCCATGGGTTTTCATGTTTTAAGTAGCAAAGATAATGCAAAAGAGACAAAAAACCTACCCAGTACTCAATGCAGATGTAAAATGTCAGTTAATCCAGAACAAACTAAACAGAGAGCAACACTCTTGACAGTGGTACAGGTAGAATCCTTGGCAGAATTTGACTAATAACACAATTTCCAATAACAGAATGTTAACATTTAAATTAACAGAATGCTCCAGTTAGCAGCAAAACTGAGGTACTTGAGGATATACTATTCCAACAGTGTAGTCTCAGTATCTTATTTTTGCTCCACTTAAGGAATTTTCAAACAGATGGCTGTTCATTCAGTTTAGTTATTTGTTATATATTCTACAATGCTTACTAATAAGAGTTTTAAGACAGGAGTGCCACTACACAGACAATACAACTCCTCACCTCCTTCTCTGGCTTGTGGAAATGCTTGACAATACCATTGACAGCTTCACCAATAGCTTCTTGTATCTGACCAGTATTTAACTCTGCAAAATAGAAAAATATATCCAGTCACTCTGTAACAGCTTTAGAAATTGTATCTGTGCATGAGGGATAAGGCATACCACAAAAAACAAACAAACAAAAAAACCCAACGACAAGCATGAAGCAGTATAACCTACACTGTTAGTGAAAAGGTGCTGGACTGTGGGTAATAGAAATCCAATTCTACTTTTATTTACTGTGGAAAAGGTAGAAATGGAGATGGTTTGTTTTTATATCAAAGTTAACACTGTGGTGTTTCAACACAATAACAGATGGAAAGGTTTTTTACATATTATGTGCATTTTCAGACCAGGGCCCAAACCTAAGGAAAGGAAATGTGCTTTGATTAGGACCACCAAATCTGGGCATCCTGGAAATACTTCCTGGGATAGCTTCACTGTAAACCCAAGCATGCTTGGGAGCAAAGTAACCACCTGATTTATCAGGAATAAGATGTTGTGGTTTAACCTCAGTCGGCAACTGAGCACCACGCAGCCGCTCGCTCACTCTTCCCTTCCCACCCCCGGTGGGATGGGGGAGAGAATTGGAAGAGCACAAGTGAGAAAAACTCGTGGGTTGAGATAAAGACAGTTTAATAATTGAAATAACAATAATACACAAAGCAAGTGATGCACAGCACAATTGCTCACCACCCGCTGACCGATGCCCAGCCAGTCCCCGAGCAGCGGCCCCCCCGGCCAGCTTCCCCCAGTTTATGTACTGAGCATGACGTCACATGGTATGGAATGTCCCTTTGGCCAGTTTGGCTGTGCCCCCTCCCAGCTTCTTGTGCACCTGCAGCCTTCTCAGTCTGTAGAGCATGGGAAGCTGAAAAGTCCTTGACTAGTGTAAGCACTACTTAGCAACAACTAAAACGTCAGTGTGTTATCAACATTATTCTCATCCTAAATCCAAAACACAGCACTGTACCAGCTACTAGGAAGGAAATTAACTCTATCCCTGCCGAAACCAGGACATAAGACAACCCCAGAACAGTGATCTCAATAGAAAACTGAAGTCCACTAGCAAGCTTTTTCATTCATGAAGGATAGATAGGACAGCAAATTTCTACCTTCCTCCATAGCATTCATTCCACAGATGAAGGACAAGAATACAGAAAAGACTGCTAGGGCAGCTAAGCACTGGGTCAGGAGTCCAGAGACATCTTCCTTCCATCCTCGGAGACTTTCAAAACTTGAGTAGATAGAACAGGTTGCTCAGGATTTAACTCGAAAGTTAGCTGGACTTTGAGCAGAGGGTTGTGCTAAGTGAGTTTCACAGGTCCTCTCCGAGCTATAGCTCTAAAATACAAGAAAACCTACAGCTCTGTTTGCAAGCAGCTCTCCTCAGGTGGTGATGCAGAACAGTACAAGACAAGACATAGCCCACCACTCACTTGGCTTATTGTTTGGCGATATAGTGACAAATCTTCTGATCATGCTCGGTGACTGCTGCAAAGGAGGGGTTCGGCACTGCCGCTCATCAACCTCAGTGTGGGAAGTCAGCAACTCTCCCACCAGGATCCTCTCTAAGCTGCCATCATCCATTCCCTTTCCAAGCCACCTTCCACAGGGAAACCTAAGAACATAAAAGAGATATTTGGATCAAGTCCTTCAACCCAGATTCAATTCCATGCCAAAGGCTTTCAACTGCAGTTGCGTAAAACCCAAATTCTGCTAGTATAGTTATTAGAAATACCTCACTCATCTAACAACAAATAAACAAAGTCTTGGTTTTGGCTTTTGCCAGCAGAGGGAGCAAAAGTAAAACAGCTTTTCAGTTCCAGGTTTGTGCTAAATGTCACACTAGATGATCTGCAAAGAAAACAGTGGCGGATTTTGTCGTGTCCTATATGTAGCACATGATTTGAGGGCTGCAGAGGAAAAAAGAGGTGAAGGGGAAGACCCACTAGACACTATAAATGGTGGTGAAATACACCTATGCTTTCATTGAATATGTTACATAGCAGGCCAGCCACAAAAAAAAACCCCAAACATATACTCAAATGCCAAAACACACCAATATATCTATTGAAATTGGGATATTAAATCAGATACTAGAAAGCACATGTGCTCACTTGCTCATTATCACTTTCTATGAACCAATGCTGATGTCAGTTTAATCAGCTTAATCAGAAAACTGAACAGCACCCAAAAAATAGAATCTTGCCTCTTCGTTTAAAACCAACTGGCATGGAGAACCGAGTGGACTTACCCGTCAATTTGTCATCAACATGAGCCTGACCGTTTCTCTAAACAAAGGACAGGGCATCAAACTATGCTGTACCTAACACAAATAAATTTAATTCTTACTGTAAATCTCGTTCCTTTACTTTCACTATGCAAACACAGGTTTCTAACACTCATAAGCCCTTGTGTTCCAGCCTGTGTCCAAAGATCTCTCTATAACACCTAGAGCACTCAGGCTTTATATAAAATACTACCGATATTTGATAAGCAGCAAGCTCTAACTTGCTATTTCTTCCTTGGGCTCAAGGCAGATTATTTTAAGATGTGTAACAGTCAACTGATCTTCTTCACCAATGTTTGGAGGCTAAACATGAGCATCTGCAAACTGAAAACTCTTGTTTAATTTTGTAAGAATCACAACTTGTTTAATGCCAGAAGCCAAATGACCTTTCTATGCCTTCAGGTAGCAGCAGCTGTAGACACAGAGCTCTAGGAGGTAAGACCTTTCTAATCAAACAAGCCCTACTATGCCAGTTCCCTGCAGAAATTCTACTTACCCAACATGAAATGTCAGGATGATACTTACTTGTAAGTATGCCCTGTAATTTCATTTCTGACCATAACATATTCCACTAGCCACTTGGCATACAGCCCTGAATTATCATGTCCTATTTGCACTGTGGTCAGTTTTCCCAGGTTCTGGCACTGCAAATTAAATAAAGAGTTTGTCAGAGTAAACTGAAATAGAGCAGCATGTTGGAGGAGTAAACTATTAGAGAACACGCTCAGACAGGGAATCAGAAATGTGTTTCTCCTTTTCTGACTGCATGATTGATTCTGGGCTTTTTAGGGGTAGGTTACTTTATTTGTTTTTGTTTGTCTTGTTTTGTTAAATACTATTTTGATCAGCAGAGAGAACATCAGTTGAACTAGATTTTTCAATTAAATTTTACCCAATGCATGCACACACACAAAAATCAGAGCAGAATCACTTCTTTGTTTCCAACAGAAGAGGATATGACACCTCCCACCATTACAGCACAAAGTTGTAATATAAAGGCAGTTTTGTCCATCCTTGCACTAAGGATTTGTCAGTCATTTTGCTCTGCATGTTATTAAATATAGATTAAGTTTGCTTAATACTTACTTCTTGGCACAAGAAGTATTTGCAACTAGCCATATAGACTAAAGATATGAAATGTATGGCAAGATGGTACAGCAATGGGAGAATTTAAAACTGGAGAAACAGAACATCCAAAGCATTTTTTGTATCAAGCAATACAAACCTCAAAAGTCATTTCTAATATATTCCTGGGAATCTGCAGGACTCCTGTTTCACCCAGTTCTCCCGATATACAGATCCAAGGATTGGCTGTAAACATTGAGCCACCAAGTTTCTTGCTAGGAACAATCAATATATGGTATGGTATCACTGCAAACACAAGAAGAAATAACACTTCAAAAATGAAGAAGGATAATTACGTAACCTCTTTAATGAAGAGAGGGGGAAAAGATAAGTCATAAAATAATACTGCAGTACCATGAAATGTTAAAACAACATCAGAGCTGCTATTTAATCATGCTAACATTTGCATACTAAGCACTGATTGACAATCAGGAAGTGTACACATAGCAGTCATTAAGAAGCAGAGCTGAGAGCAAAACACTGTCAAACGAAAAAAGAAATATGGATGGAATAACGCCTTCACATGGGTATAATAATTTTTCATTTACCAGCCTCAAAACTTGTCATGAAGATGGTTACTTGTCCCCAGCTTAGAGACAAGGAAGTAAAGACAGAAAATTCATGTATCCAGGACTACACTGCAGCTCAGCATGCAACTCAATGCTCAACTCCTAACTGCCTGCTTTTGTGTGTGCATGTATGCACACTACACAACTAATACCAATTCCTATTACTAACTGAAGACTTTGTTCGCAGGACTTGCTTGTAGCAGCATTCACTACTGTGGCTGAACAAATTCAGTGGAAATACATTATAATGCTGCAAGTTTCTCTGTTTCTCTTAGTTTTGCTAACTGTAAGACTTCTTGATTTTAAAAAGAACAAAACTTTCTTCCCCCTCCAACTGGCACCACACACATGCTCAAATGCTTTCTGGTCCCTTGGTTTACCAGTGACTAATTCAACATAGTATCACCTGAGTTACAGCCCCTTCTCTGACTCAGGAGGCACGTGCTCCTGAAGAAATGCATGTGCTCTTCAATCGCCTAGCATCTCATGCACAGCCCCCTATTAACCAAACTTTTATAACAAAATCCAATTATCTGAATGGTCATTGTGTTTCTTGGCGATCTGCCTTTCTTTTATAGTGCATAAATGGATTATAGTTAGGGCTTTTCAGCTGAGGCATTTAATACATTTCTCCTCAGCTGTCAGTGCCCTCAAGAAAGCATTTGGTGGTTGGATTTTCTTAAAAGCTTGATGCTCGTAGCATTTAAGAATGAATTAAAATGTTTCCTTTTTTATTTTCTGTGCTGATAGTCTTAAAGTAAGTGACAATTTAACTGCATTCAGCAGACCAGATTTTTAGCATTGTCCAGAACTTGCCCACAACAAGACCAAAAAGTATTTTGCTTAGACATCTGCTTGCTTTGTCTTTCATACACACAAATATGGATCATAACATACCATCAAGAGTAGCTCCTACCATGACACCAGAGGGGTCCTTTCACACAAACCCACCCCCAATTTTATAAGCCTTGCTAAAGTCTTTCCTTATTCTGTCTTACTAGTGAGGTCTTGTGGCAGCAGGCACACAAATGCATGAGAACTCTAACACCAGAGCATAACATAACACTTAAGCACCAGCATCAACAGGTTAAAAGTTACTCAAGGGCATCTAAAAAAAAAAAAAAAAAAAAAAAAAGTACTTCAACATGTTGCAGAGTTCTGATGCAGCCCTCAACAGGCATTTCATTGTCATCCCAAACTCAGAGACAGGCATGCAGCAAAGTAGGCTGAGCATGAAAAGGGGAAAGTTTTTTTGTTTTCTTTTTAATTCCGAGCATGTGTTAAGTCAATATTCTTACCTTGATAATGAACAATCCATACTGTTCTTGTTTAGCATGATGCAAACGAGCCCACCACAAAATTTTCTGTTGAGAACCCTCCCCCAACTAAAAGGATTAAAGCTGCCCGTATATACCAAGTTAGAAACAAAAGCCTTTAGTGACACAGAGAGAGACACTACTGCCCACCAGAGAGGATCATAGAAATAGTGATACAGGATATGCAGATGGACACCAGAAAGAAAGCAGAACAATTACATTAAGGCATGTTGCTCATAGTTGTTTAGAATTTTGGATAAGGACTCAACCAAATCTGGAAATCAGAGTTCCAGGGAAAGCAAATACTTACAGATTGTTGTGAAAACATTGGTAAAGCAAAAGTAATCAACAGCATTGAATGACAGGAGATGATATAAGAATTGTTCTTTCTCATCATCACAGCGGAGGAATGCATAACGCTTGTAGAGTTTTCTGACAAAGCAAAACAAATAATCTGTCATAGTAACAAGATGCTTTCAGTGAAATGTTTTCTATTTGGAATATTTGTTAGGTAAACTATGAAGAATATGCAAGCAATTACAAACAGCAGGTGATACTGGTAGAGCCAACAGTATTTAGTGTGCCAAGATATGTTGACACTCTGCAAGTCTGAAGTCTCCCAAGTGCATCAGACCAATACTTCACACTATTTTCTACTCCTCAAAAGCAAGGTTTGGGGTGGTCTAAGCGACTTCTCCCACCCAAAAACACCTCAAAGGATGGAAAAAGGACTTTTGTACTTTCTTGGAAAAAATTCTGACTTCTTTTGCCCATGTAAAATGACAGAACTGAAGTCACGAGAGTCCTTGTAAGTTATTTCTGAGCAATGGTGCCATGGGAGAGTCCTCCAGCACATCACATAAGACAGTTAGAAGACTGTTTTCAAAGGACACTAGGGGAAACACTGGGGCTATCTGCTTGTATTAGGTTATAGGTGATAACCTAGGGCCTACAACCACCCACACATTAAGCTAGGGTATAGCTTCAGTGTTGACAGTACCCAGCTGCTGACATAACTAAAATTATAAGCAGGCAAAGTTGGCCTAAAGTCCTACTGTTCCCTTTTACTGGGTTGCAAACTCTTTGCTATGACTGCAACTTCTTTTAAGTGGAAATATCAAAAGATGTAGCTCAGTAGCTTTCTCTCACTAGTGGAGACACTAATGTCTATGCAGAAGAACACACTGTAAATGGAAACAATCTTATATACTTATTGAAATTACTCAAATACATTAGAGAATTTAACACTGCAAGACTTGCAACTGAGAAACCCTGAAAATAATTTACAACCTCAATCTTTTGAAGTGCAAATTTTGATGGGAAAATACTCAGTTACTCACTTGTATGTAGCAATCACCACTATTATGCAACCAATAATTAATGGTTAATTATTTTATTATATATTAATAATTAAATATTTATATAATTTTATATAATATAATAATATATGGTTAATTATGCAACCAATAAATAATACCAGTGCTGGTAAATAATCATAAATGAAGAGCATGCCAAGATGCATCAAAAACCAACTGACACTAGAGCAATATTCAAAACATCATGAATGCGTGAATTAGGTGTTAGAAATGCTGACACAGCCATGGATAGATTGTTCCTGACAGGAGGGCATCCTGACAATTCACCTCAATTTCAGGTATTTTACAAAAAAATATATAATTACAAAAAAAAGTCAGCAAGTGACTCACAAGCCAGAAATTTGCAAAACAAATCAATGATGATTAGCCCACACACGTATTCTCACTTACATAACAAACAAAACACTAGAGATTGACAGGAAACATTCAACGGAAATAAAGATACTGAGCCTTAAATCAACATAACCTGCCTGTAGCCACAAGAGTAGCAAACCCACAAAGGTCTCATGGGTGACCGTGTCCACATTTCATCTGAACAATCTGAACCACATGTTTAGACAGCCTGTCCACAAGGGTATGTGCTGTCCTGCCTTTTCAAAGTGTAAGGTTTCTCAGTTTACTTGTGCACATAAAGGTTTCGGGGGAGCGAAGCTATGTTATTTCCTTCTGTTCCCTAACTCTGGTTCCTTTGCAGACTAGAAAGAAACCAAACATGTTTCAGTTTTCTTATATTTTTTAGCAAATGCCAAGTGAAGAGAATGGGTTAATTAAAATATCTAACAGTTGTTTCAAAAAAGAACAACACACAATCATGGTAACCGTAAAATGGCAGAAGTTGCACAATTACTTTAGTACCTCACTGAACTTGACACTGCTTCCTCTAAAAACAAACAGAGCACACTCTAAATCCATGCTGCCTAGAACACCTTTCTTGAAGTAGGATATCTAAATATGCAGCACAAAGCACAAAAGATTACAAAGAATTGATGTCATTCCTATCCAAGTTGCTCTTTTGCTTGTCACTTCCATTTTAAACATATTTTTGCTGCTGTCTCACTCTGTTCTAGAGAATCAGAATCTGTCTGATAGACAAACAGGGTATTGGCCAGTGTTAAGAGAGTTAGGTTTTTTTA